AGTGGAATCGTACCTTCCTGGTGCTTCTCCCGAAGGTGGACCATCCTGAGTTAGCCTCCCAATTTCGCCCGATAGGCTTATGTAATGTCATATATAAATGCATTGCCAAATGCTTACTCATCGGCTTCGAAAGGTTTTACCCTCTCTCATATCTGATACTCAGAATGCTTTTGTTCCGGGTCGATTAATGGCAGATAATGGCTTGCTGGCCCATGAATTACTTTCTTACATGTCTAATTCGTGTTCTAAAAAATATTTCTGCTGCTTTAAAGTTAGATATGAATAAGGCTTATGACAAGGTTAATTGGGATTTTCTCTGGGATGTTCTTCGAAGATTTGGTTTTCCTCCTTACTGGGTTCATATCTTGCAACAATGTGTTACAACGGTGTCCTATCAGCTCTTGTCAATGGTTCTCCCTCAACACCTTTTATTCCTAAATGCGGGCTGAGGCAAGGGGATCCTCTATCTCCTTACCTTTTTGTGTTATGTATGGAAATTCTGTCTTTGATGTTACGCCGTGCTGAACTCAGGGGTATTCGTATTGCTAGTCGGGCTCCTTCTATTTCGCATCTCTTCTTTGCTGATAATGAGCTGATTTTCTTTCATGTTTCTCCTGAGGCCTGTGATAATGTGCTTTCGGTGGTTAATGAGTTTTGTTCGATATCCGGTTCAAATGAATTAATATTCAGAAATCTTTTGTTAGATTTAGTTCTAACACTCCGGTTGATTATCGAGAGTACCTTTCGCACAGCCTTAAAATGCAGGCTCGTCCTTCCATTGGAAATTATTTAGGGCTCCCGTGGATATGGGTCGGAGTAAATGCAAAAAGTTTCAGTTCGTGATTGAATAGGCTGGTTCAGCGACTTTCCGTGTTTTCTTCTCTCAGGCTTTCGGCTGCAGCTAAATTGGTTGTTATCAACTCTGTCTTTATTGCTTCTTTTAAACCATGTTCTCTCGGTTTTTAAGCTTCCTTCTACGATTTGTGATAAAATCAACTCTCTTTTATTACGGTTTTGGGTGGAAGTCTGGGGAAACGTCTAAGGGCTAGCCTTGGCTCCTGCTGCTGCTGTTTATCTCCCAATGGGTTTGGGGGTCTTGGAATCCGCCACATCCAGTCCTTTAATGTTGCTCTGCTGGCTCAGCAAGCTTGGAGATTGAGACATAATCCTCAACTCTTAGCTTCTCGTGTTCTTACAGCTAAATACTCTGCGCTTCTTCAACATAGGTCGCATTTTTCTGGTTCCCGTTCTTCGTGGGGAAGCCATGGTCTTCTTCAGGGGAACTTTTCTCTTTCAGAGGCTCTTTCCTGGAAGATTGGTCTGGAAAGAATATCAGCATATTAGATGATAATTGGTTGCCCAATGTTAAGGTGAGTTTTAAGGATCCGATTCCTTCTCAGGCGAGACCGATGTTTGTTTCGGGGCTTTTCTCTGCCAACTCAACTTCTTGGGATCCATCAAAGGTTAGATCTCTTTTTCCTCAGTTGGTGGCCATGTCCATTCTGAGTCTGGAGCGTCCTTTAAAGGCAGTTGATGATTTTGTATATTGGAAATATACACAGGATGACAAGTTCTCTACAAAGTCTACTTATTTACATATTTTATCTCAACATGTTAACCCTCCGGTCTCTTTTATTCCTCCTTCCTGGTGGAAACGTCTTTGGGGTTACCTATTCTTCCAAAATGGAAGATGTTAGCTTGGAAGATTGTTCTTGATGCTCTCCCGTCTATGGCAGTTCTCTCTCGTAAAGGTATTCATGTGAATCTGATTTGTATTTTCAGCCATAGTCAAGTGGAAGACAGGAATCATTTGTTTCGTGACTGCACGTTTATTGTTGTTTATGGTCCTCTATTGACTGGGGACCTTTTCCTACACCTGATCATTAGTTGCCTTTTCTAGACTGGTTTACAGGTATTATTTCTGGTCTTAGTTCAGGAAATTCTGGTCCATCTTGGATTATTTCTTTGGGGTGTGCTGGGCTATTTGGTTAACCAGAAATAATGTTAGATTTCGTTCGGCAGTTTATTCTCCCAATTCCATTTTAGAATTGGCGTCAGATTGGTGTTTCAGGAGTCAGAATGCTCGTATTCTTACCTTTTCACAAATAGACAAGCCTCCGGGGTTTCCTTTTCAGCCTACTTCTTTTGCTCTTTGTGGCAAGTTGGATGATATCTGTGATATTCTTATGCTCTTTGATGGAGCTTGGGACAGGGAATCTCATGAGGCGGGTACTGGTTGGTTGTTTTTGTAACGCTGCGTCGCAGCATCCATTGGGAGGCGGGGCTAAAGCTTGTGTGGCTGGTTCGACTCTCCATTCTGAACTCCTAGCCTGTTTGTATGGTCTTCAACAAGCTCGTTCATGGGGTATTTCTAAGCTTCTTCTCCTTACTGACTGTTCTATTATTGCTACTTTGCTGTTGTGCAAAGATTTGGCGGATGTGTCAGTGTGTGCTGGTCTATTCAGACATCCGTAACATCTTGTCGGGTTTTACTACTTGTCTCATTAGGAAGGTACCTAGGTTGGCTATTTCGGAAGCTCATTACTTGGCTGGAGCGGCTCGTCGCAGAGATCTTCTTTTTTCTTTTTAATTTTAGTCTTTTTTCTGTGTTCTCTTTGTCAAAAAAAATATAAAAAATAAAAAAACATTTTAAATTTTTTATAATATATATTTATAAAAATTACAATCAAAGTAGTGTATCTACAAACGTGCTAGTCAAAATGTAGCACTTTTTTTTTTGAAAAAAAGAAATATTAGCCATGACCAAAATTCATCAATCAACATAAATATATCAGGCTATGTGGGTAGCACATTGCTCTACCAACTAAGCTAATAGCCTTCCAATTCACACGAATCAGTATAATGTAATTTTTGATATCCAAACTATCCCAAAACAATCAATTTTCATAACATTCCATAGTAATAAAGAAAACAGTAACAAAGAAAATGTATGCAATATTTATGTGCAATCATCCTATCTCAAGTCATATCAATTAAATCATAATCACAACAAAAAAAAAAAAAAAACACAAATACCAACATAGTGCATCACAAGAAAAAACTCGTCCTCATAAAGAATCTAGTAATTTCATGAAAATAATTTATAATACACATGCTCATGTCATATTAATATTAAAACCATTGAAGTTAAACTAATTTAGACAGAAAGTTATATTTCTTGAAACAAAAAATAAACATAAAAATCTGCAAAGGTAATTTTCTATTTTCCTAGAAAGCAAAACGAGGCTAGTGAAAAGGTCAGAAACCCTTTCCCCAGTTGACCCATGAACCACCCCTTCCCTCAAGATATTTGTCATTTCATATGTATATGTAGAGAGATCCTCCTTAAATTCTAACGCAACACCTTATTTTTTTTAATGTAAATCCTCATCAAATCAACCAAATAACTTTCATGAATAATTTACATGCTATTCGCAATTGATTTAAGGAATCAGCAAATTAAGAGGAATTGCTTCACTCAATTTTGAGCAGGTTGTAATCTATTTTAGTCACATTGGCAAACATATGCTAACAACCCAAAACGACTCATGTTTAAGCCAATATAATCATTGTACGTTACCCAAGGAAGGAAAAAAAAAAAAAACAAACCTAAGCCTCTAGTCCTCTACCTCCACTTAAATAATAATCAACAACTTAGATGCCCCTTATTGTTATAATGACAATATAATAACATAAGTATCAAACTTCATCAATTATTAAAAGCAATAAGAAGACCAGTTGATCAATCCAGTAAATGAATAGAGTACAAATTTACCATCTAGACCAATTGTAAATTATTCTGCCACCAATCACATGCTTAGGGTTCCATCTTACTGCTGAAAGCACTCTCACTTTGTCTGTTCATTTTTTCATCATTTTTAGTTGTTGCAAGTGAGTTTCTACATTTCCGGTACAATGTCCATCTTGCAGATGGAGGAATTGCATATTATTTAGATAAATTTTCAGATAATGCTGAATAATTTTCAGACAAAGTAGATTAGCAGTGGAAGATGGCATTACAGTTCATCAAAATAACTTGACAGCATATTGCGCCCCAGAGAACAATTACAGCAAATTAATAACTAAAAAAAACAAAAATGAAACTTGAGTATACAAGATACTGCATTATTACCATTTAGTTCGGCACCTTCTTCTTAAGAAACGGCATTTAAACTTCGAGATTGGAAGCAGGGAAATTAGCGCTTAGGAAGACCACGACTATGCATTCCAAATACCTCACCCACGTAATTCCTGCATAAGCAAAAGGAGAGTGAAAACATCATCAAATTTTGATATAAAAGGAAATTGGGAAGGACACCATTACCATCTAGAGGTAATATTAAACATATGCACTGACTTTCAATTGTCATTCTATAGTAGCAAAAATTATCCATCCGAAGAGAAGTGATATGGGCATATGAAGTTTCTGATAAGAGATTAATAAAATCAATTCGTAAAGCATGCAGTATTAAACCGCTATATTCCTCAATTTAATTTTAGTGCTGAGAGAGAAATCAATACAATGGTGCAAAATGTTACAAAGTCATGGAGTTATTTTGATAATAACTACCTCAGATAAAATTCTTTATACTGAACCTCATAATTATTAAAAAAAAAGCATCAAATTAATCAGGATTATCGAGCATTACTTTAACCAATGACCAGCTTATTAATTACTATCACCTAAAATGCAGTTCGAGAGTACAACAGTCATATGATAACACCAAGTTTACACTCGTATATCCTCTCGGTATAGGCTAAGGCAAGCCTGCAGAAGCAGCAAACTATAAGCTTTTTACACTCTATAAACCCCACTTCAATAAAAGGCATGGAATCTCCACAAGGCGATTTACCTGCAATTTTATGAAATCTAAATATTTATTTTACTCATTCAAATCCCGTAGCCTAGGGAAAATTTGAAGTCATCCACCTAATAGGGCTTAAATATTAACTGACACAAGCTTAAAACAATTTCATGTTTCATGACAAAGTACCGAGTGTAATTGTTCGTGTATAGTTATAGTGGTCATCTAGATAAGGGAAAGGAACCGTTCTACGGTTGTCTACTCTAGATATCACAACAGCCAAAATATGCATGAATTGTACAAAGATTCTATAAAAGGAGAAGGGGAGGATAGATGCCAAATTTCACAAGTCATGTTGTTTGGATTATTATGGTCTAGACAAAGAGCCTGCATAGAGCAATAATAGTCAAATGAAAATGTTCACAAACTTCATCAATTCAAAGGGGAATACCAAATAGATGCAGACATATAGCTTGGAGCTCAATAAGTAACTCTGCCAACATCTCAAAGTAGAATGACTCGTGAGGGACAAGGGACCAGAATTATGTATGACTACTATTAAATACTTCCTATTTAGTGAGGAGCTTGACACTAATCAAGTGTGATGTGTTGACATCTGACTATTTACTTTTCCAATCATAAATTAATCACAGAGCATTAATTAGCTTGATATCATGCATCAACCTTAAACTTGAAGTTGCAGGATACTGACAGTTTAATATATATGCAAACTGTGGGGTCAAAATATGTAGTCGCTTAAACATCATATTTCTAATGAAGGTTAGCTATATCTACCTGGTAATCTCAAGAATTGTGATGTCTCCTAGGACCTGCAAGTTCAAGAGTAATAAGTAAAATCACAGTATGAATGCTACTCGAATAACATATTTGAAGACAAAATTTAATAGTTTATTGCATCAACTTACCCAAAGCAAGCTGGACATTATCTATCAAGACAGTTATAATAATAAATAAAGCATTGTAAATTTACAACGAAAACAAGCCACAAAAATCAGAAATCTACAAGGCCTAGTGAACAAGAAAAATAATGTATGTTCAAGATCAATGCAATAAAGCAGAAACCACAATCTACATGAATATTACAACTCAATGATAGCTAATGAAGCTTTCATATAAATTCTTCTGCGAATTTATAAAACTTGCTCAACACTCTGCTCGGATTATGTGGCATACATAGAAGTATATTGTAAAACTTGCTCAACACTCTGCTCGGATTATGTGGCATACATAGAATTTATAAAACTTGCTCAACACTCTGCTCAACACAGGCTTTTTTGAATCATACACAGAAATATGTCTGAGAGGTAACTTTGAAAGGAGCAAGTTGTTTAGTATAGAATAAACACCATAATACACAAGGAGCAAGTTGTTAGTATAAGATTAAAACACCATAATATACAAGGAGCAAGTTGCTTATTTAAAATCACCTCTTCTCCCATCAAAATTAAAGGTCCTCTCCAGCTGTCCAACCATCCGAGTTTCAAATTATTCAAATCAATTAAGAGGAAAAACAAAGTTAAAAGCAATCTGCTTTATTGAAATGAAAAAGATCAGTATAAAAAAAATATCCATCTGCTGATGCTTTACGGTACCCATTCTCAAAAAACTGAGTTTAAATCATAACATTTCCATCGTCAAATAATTAATTAACCCGTAGACATTATGCAAGAGTTTAAAATAATTATAGTAAACTTGTGCATGTGCTATAGAAGGGCTAAAGAAACACATTCTAAATAGGCTAAGAAGTTCAAAAGCAAACCTGGCCGAAGTAATGCAGGTAGAAGCTCTTTGTGCAGGGACAAATAATATAGAACCTGACACTAATGTATTGAATAAGGTCAGGATAGTACCAATTCGGTGAAGCCTACGCAAAAGGGCACCTAAAGGGAGCTTCTGGTTAGTTACTTAGCTTACTTAATTTTGGAGTGAATTAGACCAAAGCAAAAATAGAATTGAAGAATTACCCAGGTGACCAGCCTTGTTCCCTCCTCAAGGGCTTTTTTCCAGTCAAAAGCACCAACATCACGACGTCGAAGCTATAAACATCCCTTTGGCCGTTGCTTTTCCTGTTTCAAAGTATTCTGGGGAAAAAAGTTTGTCAGTAAACTTACCAAACTGGTTTGGCAAATAGATAATTTCTAGAAGAAATGGCAATATATGTAATAGCAAAGCTTGAGCATAAAAATTCAAAATTAGAAGAATAGTTTTCATGATTCTGATAAAGCTGCTGGGTAGAGTGGGTACTAACAAAGTTTTTGCTAGCCAAATCAATAATACGTAGGAAAATCAGTACACTTAAACAAATTATGCAGTGTCTAATAGAGTGATAGCTTAACACGATTTTGCCAGGACAGGTGCACAATTACCCCCTTGGTAAAGCCCTACCTCAAGGTGGTCTGTGGAAGGTGCCTACCGAGAAAAATTGTTTAGATGAGGGAAACGAGCGTTGAACCTTGGACTGAATTGTTATATCCACCCAGGTGTAAATAACAACCTTTGACCCAAGATGGCCTAAGTTGCGAACTTATGGAAGCCACGGGATCCAACCATCGACTCAATTTTCTAGTTTAACAGTCTAACACTACACACCAAGAAATTGCTAGCACAAATAAACCAGATATTCATAAATCAATCCAGATCCAGAGTTCATGTGTAATTGTGTAAACATATAATAGCAGAAACAATGCAACATATATACTTGACATCCAAAGTATAAAACAGAATCACCATGACCAGGGAAATGATCTTAGTATCACCATAATTGGACTAATCAAAAGTTGATATACATTTCGTAAAATTGATTCAAAGATGCAGATTCAGTAATTGAATAATTGGAGGGAATGAGCGAATGGAAAAAAGAAATTAGACAAAGAGCTAACTGTGCAAAGTAAATCTTGCTAGTTTGGCAATTACCAGATGTCAAAATCATAGACAGAGATGCATATCCACAGTCACTTTCCAGTAAGGCAGCCAAAAATCATCATAGCTTTCGGCTGAATTGCCAATCTTCTCATCCAGATGTCAAAATCATAGACAGAGATGCATATCCACAGTCACTTTCCAGTAAGGCAGCCAAAAATCATCATAGCTTTCGGCTGAATTGCCAATCTTCTCATCTACAAGCTCTTTCTTCTTCTCATCAATCTTAAATACAACGCAGGGCATCAATACGGTCAAGATCTCCCACAAGACGATGCCAAAACAATAACATCAGCTTTCTTTGTATGGTGCTTATTTGCTATCATCTCCCGAGACATCTAGCAATAGGTACCAAGTGAATCATATTGCACTGCCTATTTTAGTCTTTAAGCAAGAGATACCAAAATCATCTAGGACGTCTACTTTTACACATGTAATTTCCGAGAAGAAGATTTCTGATTTCAAATCACATCAAAGTATTTCCTGAGAATGATGAAATTGCATTCCCCGACCAATGTCAAGGGCAAATCAAACAAATCAGCTCTTTGACATCCCACAGTTTAACTAACCCATTACTCTAAAATTCACAAATTAATCTAATCACTAATAATTCATAAAAAGCAATATGCAAAACCCAAGAAATCCAAATTAAATATCATCAATAAAATTAAGCAAAAAGGTCCCAAATAAATCACAAAATCAACAAGGGTCAAATTTCCAAATTAAAGGAACCAAAAATTATAAAAATGATTGAGCCTTTATTTAAATTAAAAAGAAATAGAGAGGAAGAGAGAGAATTAGTACTGTTTGAGAGTTTTGGAAGTGAAAAGCTTCTTCCAGACGCCAAATTTGAGGCTTTTTTTTAGCTTTTCCCATTAATAAGTCATCACATTTCTTAATCAATTGAAACATTTTCCTCGAAATGACTTCTTCTATGCCCCCCATTCAAATCAACAGAAGCCTCCTCCGCTACATTCTGATCGGAGAGGCTCTTAAGTAGTCGCAGCCCTGCCTTTGTGATTGATAAGAAAAAAGAAAGACTATGCCAACCTTTGTGACTTGCTAAATCGGGGAAGGTTGGCATTGAATTGTATAGCAGAACTTTGTTTTGTGCAATATAGCTTATATGCAGTGTTCTTCCTAATGCCCATGGCCTTGTACCTGAAAACCATAAACATCAATAATTCCTCAGCCAATGTTTAACAGATATATCATCATCACAAGAACTTACTGAACCTAATAGGCATGGTCTTCAAACTCTTCAATCAAGTCTGAAATCAGTTATATCAGTTCCAATCAAGGGTGACAACCTAAAGCAAGATCCTATTTTCAGCTGGCTTTAGACTTAGTCTTTTTGTTCTGTTTACTTTTACATGAACACTAAGTCTGGAAAAGGGCTAGTAAGTTCAATTTCACAACTAAATTAAGTTTAAATTGATTATCATTCAAATGAAAAGAACAAAGCCTCAAATCGCATAACCTGGTAATTACATTCCTTGCCTCTAATATAACTATTTAAGGATCAAAATTGTAATACGGTTTCCTAAAACAGAACGCAACTCTTAGCAAAGCGTAATACTTGCCTGTGCGGTATATACCTAAGGCAATTCCAAATAGCTTGCTCTATTATATAACAACATATATATCTTCAATTAGCCCTTGAAAACTAAATCGTTGTAAATCAAGATGATTCTTCTACAAACAACTATCAATTGTAACACAATTTACTGGAAAGTGTTAGAAATGGAGGGTCAATATTCACAATTTACCTTATTTTCCTTGTGTGCACTTCTTTCTAGTTCAAGTTGAGACTGTGCAAGGTCTCTTTGCCACTTAATCTCTCCCATTTCCCTCTCCAACCGTACATAATAACAAGACTTTAGTCAGTTAGTATAATTAGAAAGCAATCTCATTTCCCCTCACTCTCTTATATTTTTAAAGGGTGGGCACCATGGGGACAAGATGAGTTTATCTGTGCTTCAAACTTTTGCTTAATAAGTAGAAGAACAAATTTAATCTATTTCAAGATTCTGAACGCATGCTAAAGGCTAAAATGGTTCTGTTTGAGCAACAAAAGTCTTGGTGTGTAAAGTTTTTAACAAGCTAAGAAAGCATACCTTCTAGATTTTCACATTTTTCTCAACCAGCAGTGCCTTTAAAGCTGATGAAGACGAAGGTTTTGGACTTTTGAGCGAAATAGAGGCAAGAAAACAAGAGTGTATACTTTCCTTGGAGGCTTTGATTTGAATGGAGTTGAATAGAGAACACATTATTTACAAGATAAAGTCAATCAGGATTCCACCAATCTAGAGAACTCAAAATCAGTACAACTTAAACTTCTTTGATTCGACATTCAGATTTGCAAGCCCACATCATGCAGAAAATGGAAGGAAAAAAGTATCCTGCAGAGTATAATATAAAGAAAGAAATAGAGAGGAAGAGAGAGAATTAGTATTGTTCGAGGGTTTTGGAAGTGAGGAGCTTCTTTCTAACGCCAAATTTGGGGGCTTTTTCTTAGCTTTTCCCATTAATTCCTCATCAAATTTCTTAATTTTTGCCTCAATTGAAACACTTTCCTTCGAATGACTTCTTCTATGCCCCCATCCAAAGCAACAGCAGCCTTTGCCGCTACATTGGAGAGGCTCTTAAGTAGTCTCTAGTCGGAGAGGCTCTTAAGTAATCATAAACTAAGAATGTTGTTCCATATGATATATTAGACCATCTCCAATGGTGAGACTCAAATTTGAGTATTGAAATACAAAATGAGTTATTTTTTACTTCCAATGGTGATACCATACTTACTTCTCAATTTAGCAACTCATGTGAAGCCTAATTTCCCAATGGCGAGACTCTCTAGAATATACAAATGTCACTTTCAATTTATGGCTCCCAAATCCATTTCTTTTTAATTATCAAATATTGTAAGATTAAAAAAATGTAAAACTTAAATAAATTACAAAATATATTAGAATATTAGTAAGGGGTCCACACTTTTTGTCAAATGAGACTCAAAGTTGAGTATCTAAACTTAGCAACTTTCTTTTGGAGTTGCTAAGTTTAAATACCACCTTATTGGTATAGATTGCAAAAAATACTCTCCCTCCAAAAAATACTCACTTGAGTCTCACCATTAGAGAGGGTCTTAATCTTAAATTTGAGAGAATTCCAACATCTACAAATCCTGAGTGATACCCAAACAACAAATAACTGACACTAATTCATACTCCGAATCGCTCAAACTTTGTAATTTATATTCAACAATTACAACAAATAATTTTTAGGATATTTTGGATTTTAACACCTTACAAAAGGCTGAAAATGTTTTTTAACACCCCCCAAAAAAAAACTTTTATTTTAACACCTCCCAAAAATATAAAAGTTGGAAGTTAACACCAAAATCCATCTTCCGTTAACAGAACTGTTAGTGGGGCCCACCCCAACGGATATATTTTTAAAAGATCTGTATATAAGAACCATTCTTCCACGATTCTTGCACGATATATAAGAACCATTCTTGCACGATTCTCCCCCAATGAACGAAATCGTTGTTCTTATTGAATAGCAGCAGCGCATTGCATTGTTGCACGATACTTGAAACAATTCTTGCACGATTCTTCCACGATTTTTGAGAAGAGGAACAGATTGAAGCTGTTGAAACAGGTGAGTGCGGTCAATTGTTCGGTTGTTTGGTAATTATGGTTTAAATTCTCTTCAATTATTATTTGCAATTGTTTCGTACTCAGATTAATGGTTGGATTATGTTATGTACGCATCTAAATGCCCAATTGCGAAATTAGGGTTCGTCAGAAATTGAATTTGGGGCTTTTCGTATTATGAAATTAAAAATGAATTTTGTTGCTGTCAATGTTAATTCGTCAGTGTACAAATCTGTAAATGTGACTGTCGATCTAAAATTGATGCAGATTATGTCGTTTGTTAGCTCTTCCCCTCCTGAGGCCAGAAAATGTAAGTGTGGTGTGCCAATGGCCAAGCTCACTAGCTGGACAAGGGAGAATCCAGGCAGGAAGTTCATATCATGTAAGTTTTATGACCCAATAACAGAAACAAGGGGTTGCAAAGCTTTCGAATGGGTTGATCAACCTGATGGAACAGATTGGCAAACAGGGGTTATCAACAACCTGTTGTTGGATAAGAAGCTGCTAAAGGGTGAAGTTAATGAATTGAAAAGGGAAGTTGATGAAATCAGTGGCCAAAGGAGGTGCCTACTTAATGAAGTTGATAATTTGAAGATGAGATGCAAGGCCTTGAACGCTGACAGGAAGAGAATGAACAGGGAGTGCAATGAAGGGAAGGTGTCTTCAATCAGCTGTTTTGGTTGGGTGGGCATGGCCATTTGTATAGGTTTGTCAATGGGTGTAATTTTCCTAATGGCTAGGGGTGTGTGATAGTAAGCTGTATTAAGTAGTTATAATTTCTTGTAATGACTTGAAGTGTTATAAATATGTCTTTTAATCAACCTATTTATGCCTTGTCTAAGTTGTTAAATTGAGAATGTTTAAACATTGGAAAAGGATTTAAACATGTGAAACATTAAAACATGGGAAATATGTGAAACACTAAGATAGTTCAAGTACAGGTTGACAAAAGAACCTTACTTCAACATGTTTCAATGGCAATCAAAGCCATGCAACCATTACAATTCAATATCTAATTGTTCAAATTTGTTAAGGGAAGCCACTAAAAAACTAGCAAGTTACATAACCAGTCATGAGTACATAATAAAAGTTTGAAATTGTTCAACAGACATAATGTTTGATATCCAGCATGAGTACATCACTGAGTAAGGTTGTTGAGGGATTGCAGCCTGGCCCTTGTTACAACACCTGTGGCTGTTGTAGGCTGACTTGAGGAAGACCTTGTCTTTCTTTTTGGTTGGCTTGAGGCAGGCTGACTTGAGGAAGGCTGAGCTGAGGATGGCTGACTAGAGGATGGCTGAGCTGAGGAATGCTGAGCTGAGGAAGACTGTGGCTGTGGGCGCTTGCTGAATGGCAGACAACCTTCTTGCTCTTGAGGAAACTTTTTGTTTCCTATGCTGTTTGGTCCAGCCCCAATTGCACTCTATGACATGCATATAAAAATAAAAAGTCAATGGATATACCTGTTCATAATAAAAAGTCAATGGATATACCTGTTCATAAAAAGCCCCAATTGAATCCTCCCACTTTTCATTATTCCTGTTCATAATATACCTCCTCATCCATTCCATTTGGGTGAGGATAGGTTTATCTCTGGCAGGCCTAATGACTGCATTGAAAGTCTCACACATGTTGTTCAACAACATGTTGGACTTGCAGTTTGGTGTGAATGCATGTCTAGACCAATGGTGGGGAGGAATGTTGATTAAATACTCATATGCCTCTTCATCGAGGAATTTGATAGACTCCATGGCAATTTCATGCTCAAACTGACATATAAAAGCATACCAGAAATCACACCAAGCATATACAAGCTAACCAATATAAAAACACACCAACAGTCATATAAAAGCATAGGCTAGCTTCAACAATCAATAAACTTACAATGGTGGTGGCCCTAGCTGCTCTCCAAAACAGCTCCTTAAAGGTTGATCCAGTGAAGTTGAGCTTGAAGTTAGCCCAACATCCTCATGAACAATGGTGGCTCTGGCCTGTCAATACCATCAACAACAACATTGCACCCTGAACCAGGGTTGTACTTCATCACAGCTTTCCCATAATCCCACACCCTAGCATACTGCTCCCTAGCTGAACCAAATATCAGTAGTTTTGCCCTACACCTAGCTAGCCATGCCTTATAGTAACTCACATCAACTCCTAAATCATTCAAAATCCTAGCCCTAATCTCCTTAATTCTCCAACCAGGGTTACTCCTAAACTCTTCTAAATACCTCTCTGCTATGTATTCAGCAGTAAGCATCTTGTTCTTCTTTACTCTGAAGCAGGAATGGTCTAAATTCAAGGTTTTGATTTGCCAAGTTTGCTGCTTAACAAGTTTTGATGCAAACACCTTGAACTGACACTTTACCCCCCCCACACATGTACAAGCAGGCATTCTACAAGTGTAGCTATTGAACTCACAGCCACATCTATATCTACACTGAACTGTAATCCTTTTACTGTCATTATGCAAGTAGTAGAACTCATACCTGTTTTGAATGGCATGAAGTCTTAAGGCCCTCCTCAAGACTGAAGCATTACTGAATTTCTGATTTAACTTCAACTTGATTGGGTTGTCAAAGTCCACATCAGCATTAAACCAAGGAGCATAGTCCTGTTCCTCATCAGATCCACACAAACTCCTTGAATCATCTGAATCAGCATCACTTTCTGGATTCACCTTCGGTTTTCCAACATCCAAATCATTTCTCAACTCTACTCTCTTATCTTTGCCAACCCTGTCATCTACTGCACTCTCCAAACCTTTCCTAAGGCTCTTGTTCACTTTGGCCAAGATCTCCTTTGACCCTTCAATATACCATTCCTCATCCCTTCATCAAATTCTTCTTCACCAGGTTCCCAATCTTGTCCCTCATCACTCAAATCTGAACTTGAATAACCAGATCCTTCACATCCATCATCCTTTTCTTCATCAAACCTCAACACTTTAGCATTAGCTGAGGCTTTCCTAGGTGGACTCTCCTCCCTTTGTTCAGTTTCTGTCTTCTTAAACCTAGGGCTCCTCCTAATAGTCGATGTATTTGAACTTTCTACCTTCTTATCCTTTTTTTTTGTCTTTGCAGGATTGGGTTGGGCCTCTTGTATGGGCTGACTAGGAGCTTCTGTTGTTACAAAAACCTCAACATACCCCTCTTCATTTACTGTCTCCAAAAGGCCCTTAACCTCTTCACTGTTAACTAGTTCCCTTTTCCCAGTGTTAAAGGTTTTCCCCTTCTGCCTATACCAACAGCTGTAATGCATAGGCACATCCATATCACCATTAACAAAACCATGAATTGCAGCTGTTCTAATCAAATGCACATCCAACTTAGATACTTGAACCTTCCTCTTCCAGTAACACCAACCACCACACCAACACAGCAGCTGCCTGTTTTTGGTTACTCTTTTAGGGACAAAAGCACCTCCCACTCTAAGGCAGATGTCAACCAAACTATCCTTGTCACCCATTATCTACCCACCAGTGAAAAACATATAAAACATATTAAAAGCCATGTAACTATACATGCACAATACGAATAAACAAATCCATCACAGCCACACAAACAAACACATAAAAAATTGAAAATAAACATATACAAGCCAATGTAGGTGCTCAGTAACATAAATTAATCAACAAACCACACTTGCTAGTTTAATTAACAATAAACCACCTTAATTAATCTCTACTTTCAATTACGAAATCCAATTAACCTAAGTCGCATAGTCAGTTACAGAAATTGATTTATCAAGGCTTTCCTACTGTGGTCCCAAAATTTACCCTAATTACCCAATTATTGCAAGGTTTACAGCAATGAAGCACCAGTAATTGACGAAATTGCTATCAAAGGAGAGCAATTTTACCTTATTTTCTGTGAATTTCAAGCGGCTTTCGCACTTTTGTAGTTGAAGAAGATGATGAAGAAACCCTCCTGAGCTTATCTTCTCCAACGTTGACACCACCCTACACTCCACTTCTCAGCCAAGATCTCCTTTGGTTCAAAAGCGAAATCAATGAAGGTTCAGAAAGAATTCAATGCAGAAGGTTGGTGCGAATTCAATGAAGAAAGAAGTTTCGTGTTTTGCTGGGTGAAAATTGAAGTTCAAGCCAATTTGTGGGACCCACGTTAAATTTCCGTGACGGAAATCGTTAACTGGTGTTAACTTCCAACTTTTAT